GTCATCTACTTTCTCCCTGGGATTTATTCTTAATTCCTGTGTTCTGGGACCAAGTAACATTTTAGTGTCACAGAAGTTGGTGAAGAAGTGACCAATGGCCCTGTCTCTGAAGGAGGCAGGGGGAAGAGGGAGACCAGGATCTGAATCCTGAGTCACCCAGCGGCTCTTTAGGAAAGTTCCCTCACAGATATATGTACTTAGAATGAGAGAGGGTCACCAAGGTTCTGCTCAGGGGTGGGGCTCTGGTGCTGCCCCACAGTCTCTTGCTCCTCAGATCAGACACTGTCTTCCTTTCCTAAGGTGTCAGCCACCACCTTTTGCCATATCCATAGAACGGGGTTCTTAGTTTTCCTCAAATTTATGATGATACATTCTACAATTTTGGTATTGGTCGTATCTACTGATGTCTGTCAAATTGAGCCATTATAGATCTTGCACATGTCCCCTTTCTCTTGGACAATGTTTTTCTGAGTCTTTGAATTAGCACAGAAAAGAAGTTGGGGGTAGGAGACAGACGTGTTGGGAGAAAGGCTAGTCTGTGTGTATGTTACAGCGAGAGATCTGTTGTGAGGTCTTCGTATGATGGAGCTAAGGAACCTTCACCAACTATGACAAGCCCTAGCCCCAGCCCTATTTCTACCCCTCCCACCATTACCTGTGTGACTGGGACACTTGAAGGAATGGGCTCCTTTATCACTGCCAGCAGCCCTAAACTAATGTTGAGTCTCAGAGCTATTCTGTGTTCTCTTGGTAGGAATCTGGCATTTTAGAGACCCCCCTAGAGAGTGTACAGGTTTCATCCAATAATCTTAGTGAGAGGTTATTTGGGGAGGAATTTCTTCAAGTCCAGGACCAACAAATCACGAGTACATCTATACATGTAGATCCTACATGATAACCAAGGTATGGGCTCTAAAGAAACTCACAATGCTGCGGATACCCTGAGACCATGCTTTCTCCTAACACATCATCTGTCCCAACCTCTTTCTTTCAGGTTCAACTCCAAGAGTGCTGGCATTGCTGGGCCTTGCTGCTTGACACACTGAGAAGTGCATTTGGAAAAGGTGAGGCCATTCCTAATGGTGCTGTGTACAGAAGAGGAAACCAGAGCATCTCAACTCTACTTCTCAGTTTGTCTCTGTTCAGGGGTCCTGATAGCCCATGCTAGCCCAGCAAAGTCACCTGTCTTGGTTACTTTTCTGTTGTTGTGACAAAACACCATCACCAAAGCAACTTTCCGAGTGTTAAGAGTCCATGATGGCAGAACCAAGACACCGTGGCAGGAAGAGCTGAGAGCTCTCGTCTTGATCCACAAGTGGGAGACAGAGAGAGCTCACTCAAAACAGCACCAGTCTTTTGAAACCTCAACGCTTGCCCCCAGGGACATGCTTCCTCTAGCAAAGCTGAGCTTCCTAACCCTCCCCCAACAGCAACCAACTGGAGACCAAGTAGTCAAACATATCAGCCAATGGGGGTCACTCAGACCATCATATCACTCACTCTCCATCAGCAGCCAGAGGAATTGAGGAGTGTGGACTTCTGAGCCCGTGGAGGCCTGACTCAAGGTGCTAGTGAGAAGTTCACCAAATGGGAACATCAGCACTAGCTGCAGAGAGTGTGTTTGTATTCCTGCCATGGCTTTCCCTGATGCCTGCGAACTTGTTAGGGGGTGGGGCTTGCTGTATTTATGGGTGGGTTGCTTATCCATAGAAAACCATGCAGAAGAGTTACAATGAGAAATGGAATTGTGGCATCATACAACTCTTTCCCCAATTTTCTCCTTAGAGCTGGGCTTTCGGAAGTCCCTTGTATGGCTCTGTTTGAAGGGTAGAATGCATGGCATGAAGAAAATTTCCAGAGTTCTGAAAAATGAGACATTATTCATTCTATTACAGAGGCCTGGAGATCTCAGGGGCCATAGATGCTCATGGGGATCCTTGGTCGTAGTAACTTTGAGTTGTAACCTCAAACTCTTGGCGATGAGACCCATGCGAATTGGGGACTTTTCTTTTGCTGAAAATAGAAGCAGCTGTATATGTCCTATAACACCATTCTGCCACACATTTGATTCCTAAGGGGCAAGAGGAAACTCCCCCAAGTTTTTTACTTCTTTTTCTTATATGCAGACTGTCACTGGTAGAGACACAGCCTGATGCTGGTGACTTCAGGCTGAGGAATTTCTCTTTTAGGGACCTCCATTCATGTGTGGCTAGAATCTTGACTTCTACAGCAGAAAAGAATTACAAGATGAGTCTGTAGGAAGTAAAAGCTAGAGTTTATTAAGTAAAGATACGTACATAGTTAAGGAGTGGTTACTAGGATGAGGGAAAGAGGGGGGGGGAGAGAGAGATAGAGGGAAGAGGGGAGAAAGAAAAATGGGGTAGAGAGAGAGAGAGACACTCATTTAAGTGTCTTATTAAGTAGCATTTTGAAGTCAGTATGCTCAAAGGATATAATTTGCAACCAAGTGCAAAGACTATGCCAAGTTTAAAATTTAAGTAGAAAGTTGTGAGCTAGTTTACTTATTTTGCTTATTTTAAGAAATTCCTTTTATAAATGTGATTGTAAGGTGGTTTATGAGGTGAGCTGTGTGGGTTTGTGGATGATGCAGGAGTGCTGCTGAAGTTAGATGCAAAGGTCACCTACATTTTGGTCTTTAGGATGGTTCATTAGCTGGTGTACTACTCTTGCCTGAGATCTCTCTCAGGAAAGGGAGAAATGTTTCCATGCAGGCAATCTTCATAGCACCTTTGATTTTTGTCTGCTGTGAATCTTGACTCTTGCCCATTGAGAAATGTGAGTCAGACGCTTGTGGGTGAGGGGCTCCTTCCTCCTTCCCATGTCCCTGTAAATTTCCTTGTCCTTTTCTTCTGCCCTGAGATAGCCTCTGGGACAGCACTGTGGAGACCTTGGCCTTCACCAGTACCTCTCAGGGGAAACAAGCATTGGGGGTCTGTCTTATTTAGGGTTTCTGTTGCTACAACAAAACACCATGACCAAACTGCAATCTGGGGAGGAAAGGGTTTATTCGGTTTACACTTCCACATCACTGTTCCTATATACCAGTGTCTTAGCGAGGGTTACTACTGCTGTGATGAAACATCATGACCAAAGCAACTTGGGGAAGAAAGGGTTTATTTGACTTATGCTTCAGTATCACAATTCAACATCAAAGGAAGTTAGGACAGGAACTCAAACAGGGCAGGATCCTGGAGGCAGGAGCTGATGCAGAGGCCATGGAGGGGTGCTGCCTACTGGCTTGCATCCCTTGGCTTGCTCAGCCTCCTTTCTTATAGAACCCAGGACCAACAGCCCAGGCATGGCACCACCCACCATGGGCTGGGTCCTCCCGCATTCATCACTAATTGAGAAAATGCTCTCCAGCTGGATCTCATGGAGGCATTTCCTCAACTGAGGCTTTTTCCTCTCTGATGACTCTAGCTTATGTCAAGTCGACATAAAAACTAGCAAGTACAAGGCCCTTGGGCATTTCCTGGATGCTGAGGATTGAGGTTATCACTGACTAAGAACATAGATTTCCACTGGAATGCTGAAAAGGAGGTGACAGATGTGACGGCCAATTCTTTCTCATCCACAAACTCACATGTCCTGTCTCTTTCTTTCTTTCTTTCTTTCTTTCTTTCTTTCTTTCTTTCTTTCTTTCTTTCTTTCTTTCTTTCTTTCTTTCTTTCTTTCTTTCTTTCTTCTTCCTCCTTCCTTCCTTCCTTCCTTCCTTCCTTCTTTCCTTCTTTCTTTCTTTCTTTCTTCTCTCTCTCTCTTTTTTCAGCATAATTTTTTATTGATTCTTTGGGAATTTCATATCATGCACCCCAATCCCACTCATTTCCCAGTCCCTCGATATCTGCCCTTCATCACTGCAGCCCCCTACTCCAAAAGAAAATTTTAAAAAATTAATTAAAAAAGCAAAACAAACCAAACAAACAAACAAACCACTTTGTTCCTCCGTCTTTGCCACTCTCCATCCCCTCCTCATTCATCTTAGTGACATTGGGAGCTGCTGTGTACTATGCGGTAAACCCTTTGTCCAAACAGCTTTACTCACAAATGTTCATTGTAATATGTCATTGGTCTGGTTCAAGGCCTCTGGCTTCTGGTACACATAAATACTGGACTCTCCCCAAAATTCCTCTCAGGTATCCTGCCATTGCCCCAATTTGTAGAGATTCTGCAGCTATGGTTCCATAGGACCAGTCCCTTCATGTGCTCCAGCAGGTCATAGATGGAGTAGATTTTTGGGGTGGGCCAACTTAAAGCCCTAGATGTGGGCTTGTGTGGTAGCTGAGTTGGTGAGTCTGAGCCTCTGCTGGGACCATCCCCCTCAGGTGAGGGGTGTAGATAGCTCTCCTGTGCCCATGCCATTAGGATCAGCTCCCCCATGAGGAGCAGGACCAGCTCTCCTGTTGCAGCATGCAGCAAGCGGCTGGGCCAGATCTCCCAGGGCCAGCATGACTCTCAGGTTTCAACAGTCATAGTTTGCATGAACCCTGGTGGTAACACCGGCCACTGACATCAACACAGACCCCAGCTGCAACAGGACCACAGACCCAGACAGAGCCCTCAGCAGCAGCTGGGGGCTGAATGTTACTATGGTCCCATGTGGCAGCACAGACCACTCAGGTCAGCATGGCCTTGGTGGCAGTGTGGCTCATGGGCAACAATATGGCCTCAGGTGGCACCCAGACCCTGGGCATCTGCGTGAACTTCAAGGGTAACAGGAGCTACAGACATCAACACAGACCCTGGCTGAGGCAGGGCTATGGACCCAGACATGATCCTTGGCAGTAGCTCGGGCCAGATATCACCATGGCCCTAGGTGGCAGTGCAGGTCACTCAGATCAGTAAGGCCCCAGTGGCAGCATGGTTCTTGATGTCCTTTCTTTTAAATTATAAACATTCATTGTTTGAATACATCTCTCCCTCCCTCCCTTCCTCCCCTCCCTCCTTTCCTCCCTTCCTATTTCTTTCCCTCCCTGCTTCCCTCTCTCTATCTTTCTGTTTTTTCTGTCTTAGTCACTGTTCTATTGCTGTGAAAAGACATCATGACCAAGACAAATCTTATAAAAGAAAACATTTAACTGGGGGCTGGCTTACAGTTTTAGAGGTGAGTCCATCATCATAATGACAGGGAGTGTGGTGGATGCAGGCAGGTGGTGGGGCATCGGCCAAGACTACACCCTGGTCCACAGACAGAAAGGCAGAACCTGGACCTGGTATGGGTTTTGAAATCTCAGAGCCCATTCCCAGTGACACGCTTCCTCCCACAAGGACACACCTTCTAATCCTTCCAGTCCTTTCAAACAGTTCCACTGCCTGGTGACTAAGCATTCAAATAGGAGTCTATGAGGGCCATCCTTACACAAACCACCACACTTTCCTTCCTTCTCCTTCTACCCCCTTTCTCTGTATCTTCCTTTCTTTCTTTTTTTCCCTCCTCTTTCCAAAAACTCATTAAGAATCTAAAGTTTGGGCCTTTTCTGGAAGAACTCTGTGGTCTCAAGTGTAGGAATGTAAACCGATGATGGTGGCATACTCTGTAAGGGAGGGTGTGTGGTGCATGTGGGGACCCAGTTCTGGGTCTCGGGGAATGAAGGTGATTCCTCAGAACAGGTGACCCTGAAGTTACACCTTGAAGGAAGATACACAGGCTGTGGGGCTGGTAGAGTGTCTGATAGGGGCTAGCATGTGCAAAGGCAGAGTGTCTGACAGGGGCTAGCATGTGCGAAGGCAGAGGACAGACTGCATGAACCCCGACCGCTCTTCTATTGTAACCACCACAGCTGGCTGTACTGATGATAGAATCAGGCCACCTCTGCCTTCCTCCTTTGCATGTTATGTGTAGCTCCTTGTGACTTGTATACAGCTCTCACCTGCTCCAGGAGCTCTGTCCTCCACTGTGGGTCTTTTCCACCCAGAAAGTACCCACGTGCTGCATTTCAGGCCTGTTGAATCGCCTCACATCCTCATCACCAGGGAAAGGTGTGTTTTCAGTGTCAAGAGCTGGGGTGAACCAACCTGGAGCTTAAAAGGAACAAAATCAAGTAGGGGTACATCTTCCTGAACAAATATGGGGTGGTTGGGGTTTGACAGTGTTAAGCCAGTACAATGTGAAAGAGAACATGGCTTCCGGGTGTGAGTATCTGCAGTCTCAGTAGTTGGAAGGCTGAGGCAGAAGGAGGACAGGTAGTATGAGATCACCCACCCCTTCCTTCCCTTAAGTGGGAAGCTTTGCAATTCCACCCCTCTGGAGTAGGTGGACTCTTTCTTCACAGCTAATCTTAGAGGGCACACTCACTGAGGCAAGGAGGCTAAAGTTCAGGTCAGGTAAGGCATACAAAACAAGTCTGTTGGACTTGCTATGTGGGCTGAGTCCAGGATTTTGGTACTGTGGGGCATGTTTCAGGCACCCAGGAGGAGTGTCAGATGACTAGATAAAGGCTAGCAGGATCCTTTGACAAGGCTGCTATCACCTTCTCTCCACCCTTCTCAGTCTTCCTTCCAAGAAGTGGCTACCACAGATTGGGATTGACCAGCCAAAGGATTTTACTGAAAAGGAACTTGGGATGTGGATGCTTCCAGTGATTCTAGAAATGTCTTTTCTGGGATCTGATGTGAAGCAGTGATGTAGTCACCTGACACCAGAGTTGTGTTTGTCATGTGTGACATTGAGTGTAGTTGTCTAACAACCTTGGGCTGGGTCTATATTCTCCAAGTATCCTGGTACAGGGTGGCTCACAGCCTGAGTCCTGGCTATAGTCACACTAAACTCCTTTCCTACTATCTCCTACTTCTGCAGGCATCTCTTTCACAGACATAGCTAAGGTGAGAGGCATCCTTTCTTAGAGTTTCTGGTAAGAACAAGTCCTCATAACCCCTTGATTTTGGACTTCTGGCCTCCCGAATCATGAGACAGTAAATATTGGTGTGTGTTTAAGAGGGTTTTTTTTTTTATGTATATGAATGAGTGTTTTGTGCTGTGGATATCTGCATGCTGTGAATGTGTTGCTCTGATTGGTTAATAAATAAAGTGCTGATTGGCCAGTAGCCAGGCAGGAAGTATAGGCGGGACAAAGAGAGAGGAGAATTCTGAGTCAGGAGGACTGAGTCAGGAGACACTGCTAGCCGCTGCCATGAGAAGCAACATGTAAAATACCGGTAAGCCACGAGCCATGTGGCAAGGTATAGATTAATAGAAATGGGTTAATTTAAGATATAAGAACTAGATAGCAAGAAACCTGCCATGGCCATACAGTTTACAAGTAATATAAGTCTCTGTGTGTTTACTTGGGTCTGAGTGGCTTTGGGACTGGCGGGTGAGAGAGATTTGTCCTGACCGTGGGCCAGGCAGGACCAGGAAAACCTCAACTACAGTTTTGTCTGAAAGCATGTCTGTGTACCATGTGTGTGCAGTGCCAGAGGAGGGCATCAGATAGATCCCCTGGAGCTGGAGTTACAGGTAGTTGTATACTGTCATGTGGGTGCTGGGACTGAACCTGGATCCTTCGGAAGAGCAGCTCACACTCTTAGCCACTGAGCCATCTCTCCAGCCCCCGGTGCTTGTGTGTCTAACCCTCTGTGTTTGCTGTTCCAGAAGCACTAGGAAAACAATGCAGTGCTCCTGGGTTCTTTTCCACTCCCATCCTTCCCCACATGACAGCTTCTCTGATACAAAGCACGTGATGGTTAATTTTATATCAAACTTGACAGAGCAAACAAGTGCCCAGAAATCTGGTTAAATGTGATTTCTGGGTATGTTTCCCATCTATTTCCATTGGGAATTAGCTTTGGAACTGGTGGATTGAATAAAGCAGATGGCTCTCCTCACTGGGGTGGGCATCTCTGAATTCACTGAGGGTTAGAAGGAAAAGACGGAGTGGTTGAATTGGTTCCCAACCCGCCTGCCCGAGCTTGTATGAGTCCTCGCCTGTCCTTGGAGCTCCAGCTCTCAGGGCGTAGCTGTCCTGCTGGCTTTCCTTAGTCTTCAGCTTACCTGTGGTGGATGAGAGGACTTCTTAGTATGAATTTGATCATATGAGTCAGTATCTTATAATATATCCTACATGTATATGTATTTACACATTTGTACATATGTACATGTATAATTTCAGCTTTATATATAGGGGAGACATCTCAGGGTCCCCAGGAGGTACTTGAAATTGAGGATGTCTAACCTTGGATAGACTCTGTTTTTCCTATATTTACATAATATATACCTGTGGTAAAGTTTACACTTTAAATTGGGTACCAGCTATCAATGATTATAACCAACAGTGAAACAATTTAACAATCTATTCTAATATAATTACTTAAAACTTATGAAGTAGTATTTATTTCTGGAACATTCCACTTATATATTTTTAGACTGTGTTTGATTGCTGTTGGCAGTGGTAACTGAAATTATGAAAGACAAAAAACAAGGACGAGGAGGACTGTGTCTAATCTCCCAGCGGTGTGTTTCTCAAGAGAACACCAACTAGAGGGTTCTGTAGAGGGCTGACTGGTCAGCTGCACACAGATGGAAATAATTTGAGTTCCAACGAAAGGTGAGAGTGTTAGAGGAATCTGGACACCCACCTCATGGCTTCATGGTCTAGACTTCCACACGGGATCCACTGATTTGTTTTTTTTGTTTTGTTTTTTTTGAGACAGAGTCTTGCTACATAGCTCAGCTTCATAAGTGCCGAGATACAGGCATGAACCATTGCATTCAGTTTCCAGCTTCCACGAATAATCTTTTCTCCCAGTCTGCAATAGCTTCTTTCTATAAAGTGAGATACAACAACAACAACGTGACAAAGAGGCCAGGGTCCAGAAACATTTGGGGCTTAGGAGCCTGAACTTGTGCAGGTGTGGGGGTATGGGGGACTAAACCTACCTCTGATCACACTTCCCTGTGGCTTCTCAGCTTAAGGAAACAGATGAGTCATAAGGCCGCTAAACCTAGTCTTGAAGAATGACTGGTGGTTTAACTTCCAGATCTTCAGATGAGGGTTTGGATAGGCTTCTGTTGGGAGGTCTTCTGGTCTGTGCCGGATTCCCTTCCCTGACTGTGATCATGTTTCGCTGGTTGGAGGCTGGAAAGTCCAGCATGGTCTCATTGTGTGTCTTAGTGTTATCAATGACCAGGACACGTGTCTCTTAGTTTATAAGAAGACATTGAGGCTCCCACATGACAAAGGGAGGGTATCAAGAGAAACAGGGATGAAGGTGGAGAAGCCAGTCAACTGCGTTCTGTTGACTAACCCAAGTCACAAGAGTAGGTTAGATCCAGGGGTGCGGAAAAATCTTCCCCATCTAAATGCTGAGGAGAGAGAGGAAGTCGCACTAGATACTACCACTATCAGTGGGCTGGAGAACTGGATCATCTTTGCTAATGGTGTACTCCATGCCTTGGTGGGAAAGTTTATCTGCCTAGCAGGCATCTTGCTACACGGAGGGAGAGCAGAATCCTGCTTTTTGTTGCCTCTTGAGATGGACCTCTAACACGTCATTCCAGACATACTTTGTGCACCAAACTTTTATTTTAACACTTGGCCCAAGGCCAGGCATGGAGACCCACAAGGGACGGGGGAAGCCCTAGCAGGTAAGAGCTTTGACTTGGGAGTTGGATAGATCTGGCTTTGAATCCTTGCTCTTATAGGCTATGTGGGCAAGTGTCTGTCTCTTGATGAGAAAGTTTTTTATTTTAATCAATAAAATGCCGATGATAAGGTCTGTCTCACAGAGGAGCTGTGAGACCTGAGTTGTATACGGTAAGTTAAAGTGCTTAGCAAGCACCTGCTCTTCTATGGAAGCCACAAAATGGTAGCTATTATTATCAATAATAAATGTAGGCTGAAGTAATGCAGAGATGAATGAATGTCTTAGCAACTTCCAGCCAAATGGGCACTATTCATGCTCCCTCCTTCCCTTACTCCCATCTTAGCCCAGGTAAAATACACACAAGGTCCAAGTTAACCCATCTGTCCATTCATAACTTTTTTTTTTCACAACAACAAGAAATCATAGCTACAACTAGGGCTCTTGGGTATCCCAGGTCCTGTGATGGCTTAGAAACACCGCATTCTGCTTCTGGACTCCTCCACAAGCAGCAGCGTGTGTCCCTCTCCAACACCCTCCTCCCCAAATCTTCCCCTGCTCTCTGCATGTGCTCACGAAAATGGAGGCGCACCTGCGCTAGCAGCCTGCCTGCCGAGAGGCATTTTCCCCTCTGTTGCCTGGGCGATTCTGGCTACACACCTGCAAACAGCCGTCTTTTCTTCTCCATCTCCAAATCAAAGTGAGTCTTCACTCTTCAAGCTGCCTGCCAGGGGAGCACAGGGCGGACGGACGCGCCGAGAGCTGAGCAATTAGGCACTGGGCTGGCCCCTCTCTGAGGCTGGAGCTGTTTTTAGCTCTGCCTCTCAGGCAGACAGGCCTGACCTTGGGGTCTGGGCCCAGCCTGATGAATTAATGACAACAGAAGCCTGTTGGCTTAGGAGAGGGAAGACAGTACTCCCTCTGAGGAGCTGAGCAGAGACGCGCCCCCTTCGTTTCTCATTCCTTTGGAAAGGACAGGGCTCCCCTACCAACCTGTACTGCCTGCCTCTGTCCAAATGTTCTTAGTCAAACAACCCAGGGTAGTCCACAATAACAACAAACTCCCCCTCCAGATACTTTTAGTGGGAAACAAAAAACACATTTTGAAATCCAAAACTGCTTGTGCATTTGAGAATTAGGGACTACGGCTGAGGTAGGAGGTTGGAACGGGGTGGGGGTGGGGGCGCGGGATTCCAGAAGCTTCCAGGGAGACAAAAGGTTTCTTCAAAGACCTGGGTTAGTGTGAGCCAGTCAGGAAATCCTAGGGTCGGATAGGAGGAATGGGGGTGGCTGGCAGGCTGCAGGTGAGTTTTGCTTTTTATGCAAGAGGGACCCTTCTGGAGGCAAATGGGCTCCAGGCTGACACAATCTGTTGGCGAAAATAGCTCTGGATTTGGATCTAAGGAAGGCTATAAAAGAGGAGCGCAGAGACTTGTTTTCTAGCCTTGTGGGAGTCAGGGTAGTTTTAAATGAAGGGCAGATGCAGCCTTGGGCTAAAATCTACCTCCCTCAGTCCGGCGGTAACCTTATTAAAGACTAAAAATAAAGGCAGGCCTTTTATGGTGACGAAGAAAAGGCAGGGCCAGGCGGCTTTCCCAGCAGAGGGGTGGGGGGTACGCTCAGGGGTGCGTGTCAAGGGCATGGATTGGATTCCTCTGCCTAAGGTACACAGATGAAGGGAAGGGCCATGGACAGACGCGGAGGTCTTCAGCTGACTGTCCAGGCTGGGTTGGGGGCAGGAGACAGAGTTGCCCTTCTGAGGCCTGGACTCTGCCATTGTAGTAAAGGGGCTGAAATGGGACAATCACCCCCTCCCCTTGTCTTCCTAAGGTATCTGGGAAGGGCTAACCCTGTTTTTCTGGCACCCTAAAGAACAGCTTTATGCTCTTTGTTGTAGTGTACTCTTTATCTTTAGGGCTTCGTGAGAGTGGTAGCTGGGGACAGAGAAGCCTGGGTTGAGTCAGAACCACATCAGCATTCACGGTCCTTGGAATAGTGCACACCACTCCATTCTGTACCCCCGGTCCTTTTGTAATGGGGCTGCCTCCTCTGCTTTGGATCTTGGTCCTGAGAAAGGACAGAGCTGAAATGTCTGTTGTCTGTTGGTCTTCAGTGCAGACACCAATGCGGTCTGGAGCTGCAGGCTAGGGAGGACAGGGTGAGCCCAGGGGCAGGACAGGAGTGAGGAAGAGCCTCGATTCTAGAAGGACCCAGGAAGGACTCAGTTCCTTGGGAGTGGGTGTAGGAAGGGCCACACCAGACTTGAGGCTGGGGAGGGGTGAGGGTCAGTGAAGACCTGTGCTAGTGGATCCTGGGCAGGGCACAGGAGGGTGGGGTCTACTGTTTGATGGACCCAGATTACCCCAGGCTGCTGAGGGGGGCTTCATCATGCAAGAGTGGGGCCAGGTTGGAGGTATTGCAGCCAGGCTAGAGGGACATGAAGAGAAGTGGGCTTCATTCAGATGTGTAGGGGTAAGTGTTGGAAGCTTTCCTTACCTTTGAATGTAATTCTCCCAATACTTCTACTTGACCAGATTCATGGCTCCAGTCTTCCTGGTTGTCTTCATTTTTGGTTAGCATTTATTTATTTATTTATTTATTTATTTATTTATTTATTTATTTATTTATTTATTTATTTATTTTTCGAGTCAGGGTTTCTCTGTGTAGCTTTGTGCCTTTCCTGGATCTCGCTCTGTAGACCAGGCTGGCCTTGAACTCACAGAAATCCGCCTGCCTCTGCCTCCCAAGTGCTGGGATTAAAGGCGTGCACCACTACTGCCTGGCTGGTTAGCCTTTATAAATCACAAATTTGCCTGCCCTGGGGTTTCTCCCATGGCTCCCAATTACTCCAGGAGAGCATCCAAATCCCCTACTTCCTTCTGCAGAGCCTTCTGCAATCTTGAACATGCTTTCTTCTTTCCCCTCTCCATCTTGGGGTAAATGACTTCTCATTCTCTTGACTCTCAGTTTGTTTTGTCAGAGCTAACATCAATCATCTGCCCCAATCCTCAGCGCATCTTCAAGGCAGACAAGGAATTGACTTACAATTCTCGTCTTTCAAATAGCTTCAAGTCTCTAAGGGCCCCATGCTTTTGTCTAAGGTCTTGCTCTGCCCTTTGGAGACTATGAGCCTGCTTGTAGGTTAGGACAGCTGAGCAGAATAGAGATGGGAGACCCCTCTGGGGCCACCCTCTGTCTGTGACTGGCAGGAATGGAGAGCAAATATCCAATTTCCAGGGACCTGGGCTACAGCTGACGTATGCTCTGCAGTCTCCCAGGGGTCCTCTTTGGAGACTGCATCTTTGGATCCCCTACACTGACCTACTCCTCAACCCTCTCAGGCTTCTGGAACCATCTCCCCAGTATTCATTCCTATCCCCCTGCTCATCTTACGACTAAAAGCCAGGATGCTTTCACTGTTTCTTCTACCTGGAGCTCCATGCCAGCCCAGAGACCCGTTGCCAAGATCTGTGCTCCAGGGCCTCACATCTGTTTTCTGTGGCCATAGCACTGGGACTCATTGGGGCATTCCATTAGGGTCATTAGGGTCAGTGCCCTCTGTACTGGGACCACAAATTCTCTTACATTTCCTATACCCGAGGCTGCTTTGTGCTGGCACGGCATGAAGTCAGCAGTCTGGTGTTCAAGAGCCCACACAGGGGGACTGGCAAGTGTTAGCAATCTGGTTGGGGTTGAAGCAGAGGCAGTCAGCATCTTCTGTGGTAGACAGAGTCCTCCCACAGTCTAGGTGTTTAACAGACTTCAACCAACAAGCAGACAAACACTCCCTGGCCTTCATTTAGTGTTGACAGTTTCTCAATTCTCAAGCACTTTTACAATTCTCCAAGCAGTAGATAGCTTTGAGGGACAGAGACCTAGCTCAAGATGGTAGCCATAAAGCAACATTGTCAGAGAGGTTAGGTTAATGGCCCAGAAGCACAGAGCACAGAGCCAGCAGAAAAGAGCTGATGAGATCTCAGACCTGTTCGTCTCTATAACTATTTGTTTTTCCCCTTACCAGCTGCATGGGCTCTGGTGTTGGATCCTCCCTGTTCACCTCATTCTATTCTCATACAGACCCTCTGTACTGGGGTGTACAATTCCAAGTTCAGATGAGGTATCTGAGGCTCTGAGAGGTCTGGGCACAGAGCTGTGTGTCCTATAGGCCGGTCTGACTCTGAACCCAGTGCTCTTTCTCATCAGCACGCCCATTTCTATGTCCTCAGCTTTCCCATAGCTTATGCTTCAAAGCAGTCAGCCTGTGGAGAGGAGTAGCTGAGGAATCTACCTGACAAAGATGGAGTGGCTGGCACTGGTCATAGCCCTGAACATCAGTGTCTAAGGAGCTCAGGGTTCCAAGCAGAGCTGCTGATGGTAGGTGGACCAGCAGGCCAGAGGCAGCTTCTGATGCTGGCTAGACCGCATGAATATTCATACCTGAGATTTAGGAGGACTTTGCCAACAGAGGGAGGAGAGGGAAAGGACCAGAGGAAGGGGAGAAGGCGTTTTAGTGTGTGTGTGTGTGTGTGTGTGTGTGTGTGTGTGTGTGTGTGTGTGTGTGTGTTTGCGTGTGTATGTTCATGTGTTTGCATGAATGTGTGTGTGTGTGTGTGTGTGTGTGTGTGTGTGTGTGTGTGTGTGTGTGTGTATGCATGTACATACCTGTGGGGGCCAGAGGTCAGCACCAGGTGTCTTCCACAATCATTCTCTATTTTCTTTTTTGAGACAGGGTCTCTCACTGAACCTGGAGCTCCCCAGTTCAGGCAGATTGGCTGGCCAGTGAGTGCTGTCCTCTGACTCCCTCCACTCAGCGCTGGGATTATATGCACACACCGCCAGGTCTGGCTTTTGTATGCGTGCTAGGGATAGAATCCAGGTCCTCACAACTGTACAACAAGCACTCTATTGACGGAGCCACTTCCTCAGTCCCTGTTGTTTCAGCTTAAACAGAGTACTACTGACTGGGTCATTTATAAGGAAAATAAAATTCTCATAGTTCTAGAGGCAAGGAAATACAAAGTTAAGATGCCAGCATCTGGAGAGGGCATCCTCTGGGGTCAGCCACAGTGCCGGGCATCATGAGGAGAGAGGGTAAGGGTGTGTCAATCCAGGTCTCTCCCTCCTCTGATCTCATGAACTCAATCAACGTTAATCATCTCCAAAGGGTCCACCTCCAAATGCCACTAACATGCGAATTTGGGGGCTGACTTGCCAACACATAGCTTCTAGGGACGGTTCAGAAGACAGCAGAAGGGAAGAGGGAGGAGAGGGAGGGAGGGAGGAATGGCTCGCCCTATGCTAAGGCTGTAGACCTCTCCCTTCTCTGCCAAACCCGTGTAGCCCAGCCCTGGAGGGCTTTCTAGAGCCGACTCTACAGATTTCTCTTTAGGAGAGAGATGAAGCGAAGGGGCCTGACAATTGTCTCAGCTGCTTCGAGCTCACTGGCCTGGGCGGCTCCTCTCTCCCTCTGCTAGTCTCCTGTGTCCCCAGTCCCTAAGTGTTAATACTGTCAACTCGATAGGCTCGAGAATCACCTGGGAGATGTGGGCGTGTCCGTGAGGGAGTGTCCATCCTGGGTTAGTTGAGGTAGGAAGACACACTGTAAATGTGGCAATCACCCTTCCACGGGCTGTGATTCCAGACTGGATAAAAAGAAGGAAGTGTGTTGAGCACCGGCATCCATCTATGTCTGCTTCCTGATGGTGGGTACAATGTGACCGGATGTACCAAGCCCCTGCCACTATGATGTCCCTGCCTTGATGGACCCAACTCTCAAACTATGAGTCAAAATAATCCCTTTCTTCCTTAAATCTCTTTAGTAAGGGATTTTTAAGCCAACAAGAAAAAAAAGTAACAAATAATTCCACGAGTCACTGAGTTCTCAGTCTACCTGGCTGAATGGG